TTATATTAATTATATTCTTATTTAGTTATTTTAATTAATTATTCAACTAAAAAAAATCTCTCTTTATCTTTTATTTCTTTTTTAAGAATATTATAGATAAATATAATTATTGTTTTTAAATTTTTAATTTAAAAGAAATAAAAGACTAACAATTACTTTAAGACAAAAAAAGAGTAAAAAAATTAATTAATTTTGTGTTTATCCCCAAATTTAAACTCTAAAACATAACCCACAAAATACAGTAAGTAAACCCTTCAATTACCCTCTCATCTATAAGTATTATATTGGTCACAATATGGGAATTTTATAACAATTCCCCTAAAAAATAGAAAATCATAATTCAGTACGCGTTTCGGCCAAAAATAAAAAATTAAGTAATAATAATTCACTACGTTGCCTTCCACTATACAATAAACCCAAATACTCAATTTCAAGACTAACATTCTACTTTCAAATAACTATATAAATGAAAAACTGTCACTCATTCAATCGATTTTTAAATTTGGTGATTCATTTTAAAATTTTAATATTTAAATTTAATTGATTAAAAATTTAGTTTCTACAAATTACTTAAAAAAATTTCCTATTCCCTTGTAACTTTTTAAATTAAAAAAAAAAAAAAAAGAAAAGAAGAAGAAAGACATTAGTTGTCATATTCTCTTTTAAAAAAAAAATGAAAATCTGTCTTGCTTTAGACTGAAACATGTGGATTTAGTTTGGTAAGTATAACCAATCCAAGATTCTATATTTGACTGCAAATCATCCTTTAAGGGATCATGACCCACACCCAAGATTTTTGAAGTTGGAAGTCAAGTAACCAACCTGTAAGAAATTTGAAAAAAAAGAGAAAGTTATTCCAGTGTCAGTCTAATTCTGAAATAAATTCAAATTCACCTTTTAATAAGAGGCAACAGCTATCCAGGAATTTGATTTTCTGATTTGAAACTTTGAATATGACACTAGGATTAAAGGTTATGTTATTATCACCTATATTTTTATTAAGATTACACAATGTTATTAATATCTTATTAATTTAATTATTAAAAATAATTAATAATTGATAAGATGATTAATGTTTATTATTTAATAAATTAAAATTAATTTATAAATAAATATTTTTACATATTATAATTAATTTTTTAAAAAATTATAAATTAATAAAATATCAATAAAATTGTGAAGTTTTAACAAAAATAAGAGTGCCAATATATAACCACCGCCTTAAAACTACTTACATAAAAGGGATTTTCTTTCAATTTATAATTGCATTATTATATTACAACTTAATAATGCAAATGTAGTTGATTATGGAAAATTATATTGTTTTAAATTAAGGAATGATGGATTTTCCTTGGAGCTTTTTCAGGATGTGAGACTTTGCCTGATATAAAGTGGCAAACATTGGGGCCCCAAATTGCTTATCTTTTAATTTGGGTGATAGCTTGTAGAATGGCCCAAACTCTGCATTTTCAAACAATTCAACTTTTTCCTTCAAAATCATCAACCTAAATGACAGAATGCCCCTTCCCTGCAGAAGAGGAGAGCAGAGTCATTGGTCCATTGTTAACAATAACACACAAGGGTATGTCCTGAGATTCCTGAGAAGATTGCAAACATTTTGAATCTTGCCTTTATGATTTTAGCTTCTTTGGATCTTTGAAAATCAGAAACAGAAATGTTTGTTATCTGTGACAAAGAAAAGATAAAATTATTACTTTACATATATATATTTTAGGAGTTAGATGATATTATGGGATAACTTTTTCACAACCATAATAAGTTTATCTCTTTGAGTCAATCAAAAAATAACTATATATATTAATATTAGAGAATTTATGCTGAATTAATTTATCAATAACTTCAAAATACTGATTTATAATAAATAAAATAAGAAATAAACTTTCTTATTGGTTGATCCACTAGCCTTGTAGTTTTACTTTATATTTGGGTATGCTAGGGGAGTGGGGACAAAAAGCCAAAGTAATGAAAAAGAAGAATACACAGAATTTAGTTTTTATCCCTTTATACTATTTTATACAATTATATGCAACCAAGGAACATAGAATGATTATATCGGTATTGTGAATTCTGCATCACTTCCCTTTAAAAAAAGTGTTTTGATTCTTCCCCTGTTGATTAAATTCGGGTGGAAAAAAACAAGAAAAAAATATGTCAAGGTATGCAACAGAAAAATCTGACCTTGGTGGTCCAGAATTAAATAGCAAGGACATGGCTATGGATATTGGGAATGTCAATTATAAATTCAGGTAATAAAAATATAATTGAACTTAGGCTAAAAGCTACCCTTCTGTCCACGTCGCCCCAACTTGTAGGGAACTAATTTTCATTCGATGGTGTAATAAGGTAATTCTCTGTGAACTTTTTAGTGGCAACATAATGGGATTACTTAATTGTTATATTACATGAGTTGCTTGTTTTGCACTATATATTACACCGGGCTATATAACATGAATAGTTAAATGGAGGAAAAATCTTAATATCAAAAAATTCATTTCCTTCATTAAGTAGTTATTATTATGCAGTCTGATGTAATTTAGATTATATAATAATGTTTTAATAAAATATTAAAATAATATCTTTTAATTGAGTAAAAAGTAAGTCATTTAATCAGAATTATAATATCAAAAGAAGATTCTTTACGGTAATTTCTTTCATTGATTAGATATCAATTATTGTCAATTAAAAAATCTGTAATAATATTTTTCTGGTGTGTCTAAATCTTTGGTTACCATCAAACCCTCATAATAGGGGTGTTTACCATGACTCTTTCTTGAAGAAGATTTAAATAGATATTCATCCATTTCTTCCTTCTTTAGTTTTCCTACCTAAATTTTATTCATCAGTCTCAACCACACACACCTAATCTGCATGCATGTGTAACACCCTTTCTTTGCATGCCTCACAGCTTCTTCTCTGGCCCAATGATTAAAACAGATAGATAAAGAAAAGACGACAGAACATAATTTTTGCCAAGATGGAATAAATATTAATAGTTAATAGCAACGAAAATCAGTTAACTGGGACCATACAGCTCGAAATTCCCAAATTAACAAATTTGGAATTGGATGTTAGAATAAGAAAGACTATAAGTTTTGAATCTTGTTACCTTCAAATTATTAAAAGTTTCTTGTTAAAATTGAAATGAACCAAATGACTCAATTAATTCTTATCTGCCACCTTAGAGTTTCCTTTGAAAATTAGATATGCTCTTAAAATTTAACTTACAACCAAGATTATCAATTTCATGTGTTTGTATAATTAAAGGAATTGATGAAAGCAATGATTTTGTAGATTTGCTTGAATGTTGGTGCTTCCCTTCAGCTTGAATCTATCTTTGGATTAATAGTTTCAACTCTCAACTTCCGTAACCAAATTATTTTATCTATTTATAAGATTTAAATTTAATATGGTATATATCATCCATATAAAAAAAATTATCGCTAAATTATTATTATCAACTAAAAAAAAAAAATCCGAACAAGGATTAAGGAATTTGTGCTCATTCTCTCTAAGTTCTCTTCTCACTCACCTCATTCCTAATATGGGATGAGAACCAATCCAAAGCTTCTTGTCTTGCATCTAATTTTAGGACACTTTGTTAGCACATGACAACCATATGTCTCCAAAATAAAGAAAGAAACACCCAAAAGGGCCAAATCTAGTTGTCCAAGCCTTCTACGTGACCGGCGACGGGCGGTTCCTGTCATCCAAAAAATCGCCGAGTATTACAGCAACTCGAGACGAAACATTTTTTTAAGGGAAAATAAAGAATTTATTAATTCTTAATTCTAAACGGGCGATAAAAAGAAAAATAATAATGTAGATACTGTTTCGTCATTTCAGAATTTCTTTTTCATTTTTTTTTTTTTTGTGTTTTGTATTTTTCGCTTTTTCGTCGTCCTGCTCCTGACGCCTGCAGAAAATAGAAAACAGAGCTCAAACTAGCTCTCTACCAGCTACTGAACTTGGAAGGGAAAAACCCTAGAATCTTGGCTTCCATGGAGAATCTTTCGCATTCTCGGCCACCAAACAAGGGGTCTCATGCTGCAGTCGCCAAGAGAGCTTGCAATGGCGGCAAGTTCGTTGGTAAAACCGTGTATGACGACGTGTTTGGTGGACCGCCGAGGTTCGGGGTTCCGACTCTGTCGCCTCGGCCCGAGGACTATGACGAGATTTTCGGCGGATTCCATGCGTCCCGTCCCACGTCGATTCCTGTGCTCGATCTTCCTTCGGTTGACGAGGAGGAGGTGTTCTTCGATGTGCGGAGCTGCGGGTTTAACTACGGCGAGGTTTTTGGCGGATTGGACGGCCTGGACTTTGCAGCCTCATTTGAAGAGTTGTTGAGGCAGTCTAGCGTTGGTAGTGTTGGTCGTGATCGTGACGGTGACGTTAATGGCGATTCGTCTGAAGAAGCTTGGTATGGTCCTTTTTGCGGTTCTGTCTTTGAAGTTTCTTGATTTTGGTTTAGAATTTACCAAAAATGTGGTTTTTTTTCTTTTTATTGTCTCTTTCTGGTACGTATGGTAATTACTGCTCTTTTAAGTTTCGAGGGTGTTTGGTAACTTGGAAAATGGGTTTAAATTTTGCGCCATGGAAGATTAGGAGTGAGAAATTGAGTTTTGGCATTTGGGGGCCAAAGGGGACAAAAGATTTTCTGGGGGCCGTCTTTTGTTTATTTTCATTTTTGTTTTTATCTTCTAAGTTTTGAGTGGATATGGAGGTTTGTTGAAGAGAATGTGATGTTTTGTGTTTTATTTGGTGGTAAAAATTTGTTCTTGGGCTGTGAAATCAAATTTTCCTTCGGGTGACCAGAGGTCATTTTAGCTACGAAAGCTTTGTTTTTTTTATGGAATCTATCTTGTTATGCTGCAAACTAATGGAGGGATCTGCTGGAGTTCGTATCTCATATCCAGAGTTACTGATTATTTGTTTGGGCTTGTAGCTTGTAGTTTAGTTGTCTGCTTCTCTGTTTATGGATAAAATGTACTTGAGATTGGAGGTATTGACATGTTTGCTTGCAAAGCTGTTTTGGTGTTTGGATTGATTTTAGAGGTTGTTGTTCCAAGTTGCTGCTATGAGTTTTTGTAGACTTTTCGCTTTTACTTATTTATGTTATTTCTTGCACATGTGATTGAATTTAATATTTTGAGATGGTAATTTAATGGTAGAAAATTTTCTTTCCTAATTCTTAGGACACCAGCTGAAACTGAATCCCTGTCCGGAGACTCAGATCATTCTGGAAAGAACCAACATTCATCAAATGGAGAATCTTTTGAGCTGATTGATGGCAGTATAGAGTTCAGCACATCATATCATAAAGTTAATCATAGAAGCAATGGAGATTTGTCGAATGGGATTACACATATTGCACAGCTACATATTCCTGGTGGTACTTGTGTGGTTGATGAAACCATGCCTGTGAAAAAGACAGAAAATGAGAATCCACCGCTGTATGTTTGTGATGATGGCAATCTTGATCTGAGTGGGGAAACAGTGCAGAGGAAACATCTCCGGAAAACCATGTCACAACCTGCTAAGAGGACTGCTGGTCTACAGACGTTTGCAAATAAACTTGCATCACAGAGAAGCAATGGTAAAGGTGGCTCTCTTTCTGATGAGATGTTTGTAACAATTTCGGAAATCAGCCTGAAAACCCAGCCATCTGTGGTGCCACCTCCATGTAGACCACCGCCAATGGTAGATGGTAAAAGGAAAGACCATGAAAACAGTCAAACTACTGCTTCTGGAGAGACATGTGGTGATGGTTCTCCACCTTACTTCGATGTGGAGATAGATGCAAGTTCAGCAGCTGCTGCTTCTGCTGCTGCTATGAAAGAAGCAATGGAAACAGCTCAGGTAAAGCTGAGAAGTGCAAAAGAACTAATGGAGAGAAAGAGAGAAGGTGCACAAAATAGCATGAAACTGAGTTCAAAGCATGATACAAAAGATAAGAAAGAAAAGTTGAGAAAGGTTGTTGATGGATCCAGAAATGTAAAAGATGAGAGGGTGCAGGACAGTAGAAAAGAAGGTAGTGGAATGAAACCTTGTATTGTTCAGAAGCAAGAAGTTAAGAAGACTGCTCAGGCAATTTCCAATTCAGTAGAAAGGGAGAAAGCTTTTAATATGGCTAAAGTGTCTGCAGAGGAGAAACATGGAAAGGAATCCCTGCCATCTCAGGGGTCTGATAAAACTGATCTAGCTGATGAATGGCAGGAAGCTACACAATTTTTTGAATTGGTGAGAACAGATAAATCAAAAATGGTTTTTGTGGAGGCAAGCAATTGTAGTGTTTCAGTTGCAAACACAAAAAGAAATGAGCATCACCTGAAGGCAGAAAAGGTTGCCACTGTACTGAAGCAGCAAGAAGATGGTCAGTGTAAAGAAGAAGCAATTAGAGAAGATCATGAACTGGAGAAAGTTTTGAATGACTTGAAGACAGCAAAAGAAACGTGTGAAAGGGGGTTAAGCACAGCAAGATCAGAAGCTGCTAAAGGGGCTCACAGGCATAAAGGGCACGAGAAGAAGGTAAAAGTGGCTCAAGTGGGTAGCAAACAGGAAGAGACTGAGGTGAAATCCAAAATGATCCAGCCTTCAGAAAATGCAAAGAAATCAACGGGGGTGCAAGAATCACAAAAGTCTGAGAAGCACGTAAATGTTCGAGAAAATGAAATTAAATTTGAAGTTCAGCAGGCTGTGAAGCATAAAGAGATTGAGCAGCTACCGAAACAGCTTAGTAAAAGTGTGGAAAATCAGAAAAGAAGCAAGGAGTGTCAAGAAACAAAAGATGATGAGAAGAGACAAAGAGAGGTTTTTGGGTGGGATGGTAATGATATAAAGCTTGGGCAGTCTCATGAAGGAGCAGAAAATAAGAAGGCAATGGAGGGAGCTCATGAACAAGAAGAAAAAGAAGATAAGGAAACAAAAGATGATGAGAAGAGACAAAGAGAGGTTTTTGAGTGGGATGGCAATGATATAAACCTTGGGCAGGCTCATAAGGGAGCAGCAAATGAGAAGGCAATGGAGGGAGCTCATGAGCAGGAAGAAAGAGAAGATAAGACTTTAAAGCAGACTTGCAAACTAGAAGAAAATGAAAAGAAAGAGAAAGAGGTTGATGAACTAGATGAAGGGGAGATGATATGGAGAAAGGCTCTTGAGCAGCTAGAGAATGAGAAGAGGCTGAAACAGGCTCTTGAACAGGAAGAAACATGGAAGAAAGAAAGAGAGACTTGTCCAAAAGAAGAAAAGCAGGTTCTTGAGCAGGAAAATAATGAGAAGAAACAAAGTGGGGTCAACGAAAAGGAAGTAATTGAGAAGAGACTTGAACAGGATCACCATGAAGAAGATAAGACTGAGAAGCCGCTGGAAGAGGCATTTGAGCTAGAGGATAACAGCAGAGCATTGAAGGAGACTCAGAATGGGGAAGATGAAATGAAAACAAGACACGCACTTGAGCAGCAAAAATATGAAGAACTGAAGGGAGTAAATGAAGTGCACCTGCAAACCAACAAGGATGAAATTGGGGAAAAAGATCAAATAGATGAAGGAGCTCATGAACATATGGAGGTTGAGGATCTTGTACCATCTGATGAGGTACACAAGCTAGATTCCCATGGGAGACCTGAATTGGTTATTAATTCTGATAAAAACTGTGATGAACAGGAAGAAGCACAAGAGACTGTTCTTGTTGAAGACTGTGGAAGGGTGCAGGCTGAATATATGGAGTCTGAAAAGAGACGAGAAGCCACAAAAGAGAATCTTGATAGAAAATTCAGTTTCTCTGGAATGGGCCAAGATGAGTTAGAACATGTGGCAAACCAATTAAGAACAGAAGATGTCTCAAGCTTGTATCATCAAGATGATAGTGTGAAGAAAGCTGATGAAGCTGGAGTTGGCATTGGACAAAGAAATGATGAGAAAATTAAAAGTATCTCAAGAGTGGAATCTTATAATGAAAAGCAAGGAATAAAATTTGCTTATGAAGAGAGAGAGAGAGGAAAAAATATCAATGAAGCCGAAGCTGTCTCAAATCATGAGGAAGACAAGGACAAGTTTGTCCCACCTCATGTGGTGAAAGAGTCTGCTGAAGCTGGAAGGAGAATAGAAGCTGTCCAGTCATCTGTCCAGGAAGTGAAGGGAGACACTCTCAGAACTGCACAGCCAGTTAAGACAAATCAGGGCATGGAGAGGAGAGAGAAGAATGTAAGTGAGAGCCTTACACCAGATGAAAAAGAGACTGAAAGGATGAAAGGAGAAGTAGAACTGGAAAAAGAACGTCTTAGAAAGATAGAAGAAGAGAGAGAGAGGGAGCGAGAAAGGGAAAAGGATAGGATGACTGTCGATAGAGTGACTCTTGATGCTCGTGAAAGGGCATATGCTGAAGCCCGTGAGAGGGCAGAAAGGGCTGCCGTGGAGAGAGCAGCTGCTGAAGCTCAACAGAGAGCAATGGCTGAAGCACATGAAAGATTAGTGAAGGCATCTGCAGAGGCCAGGCTCAGAGCTGAGCGTGCTGCTGTAGAGAGAGCAACTGCAGAGGCTCAGGAGCGCGCTGTGGAAAAAGCTATGGCTGAAAGGGCTGCAAGAGTGGAAAGATCTGTGTCAGATAAATTCTCTACTTTTTCCAGAAACAGTGGACTGGTAACATGCTCTTCATCCTCTGTCAGTGTGGCCTGGATTTTGTTTTTATGGATTGTTTAATCCTAGACAGCATATTAATGGACGTCCATTTGCAGGATCTGCATAATCAGCAATTCCAAAGCACAGGCTCTTTTAAGGGTTTAAGATATTCCTCAGAATATAATGGTAGGTTATTTGATGAAGCATCACGTTTATTTTCCTACTCTGGATTTGTGAAGCTTAATAAAATTGACATAAGCTTAAATATGGTTTTGAAAATTTGACTGCCTTTGCTGTTCTGATACTTTAATATTTATTTCTCTATATGAAGGAGTTGAAGGCGAATCACCTCAGAGGTGTAAAGCTAGGCTGGAGAGATACCGACGAACAGCTGAACGTGCGGTATGTTTTTTATTCTCCCACAAAGCCTGGATTCTTCAATTTTACTTTATGCTACTGAAGTAACTAATGGTTTTCATCTCTGTTACAGGCAAAAGCTCTTGCGGAGAAGAATATGCGTGACCTTCTTGCTCAAAGAGAGCAAGCAGAAAGAAATGTAGACTTTTTGATCTTCTCCTTGAGAAGTTTCTTGAACTTGGAATAGTGTTGGCATTTCTTTAACTAATTGCTGTCACGTAATCTGTTTGCAGAGATTGGCTGAAACCCTGGATGCAGATGTCAAAAGGTGGTCTAGTGGGAAAGAGGGAAATCTACGGGCATTGCTTTCAACTTTGCAATATGTATGCATTCTGCCAAATCTGTTTATGCATGAGTTGTCTTTTAATTTTGTTGTTTTTTAATTTCATTGTCAGCAGAAAAAGGTGCATTTCATTGGTTATGATTAGCTATCATATTTACTCAAGGAATTGGGAATATCTTAGTTACAACCAGAAGAATGTTTGTCTTCTTTGTGTTCCGAGTGTATACTTGGGAGATGCTATACAGTTCATTGATACTAATGGATTGTTGACCAGTGGCTGCATTTGCTTTAATACTAAAAATGAGCTTCAACAATAAGCAGTTTTACTATAACCAAGTGTTTTTAATCATTGGCAGATTCTTGGGCCTGATAGTGGTTGGCAGCCAATTCCATTGACAGAAGTTATCACGTCAGCTGCTGTAAAGAAAGCTTACAGGAAAGCCACCCTTTGTGTTCATCCTGATAAACTACAGCAACGGGGTGCTAGTATTCAGCAGAAATATATTTGTGAAAAGGTCTTTGATCTTCTAAAGGTTAGTTACTCACTTTTCTCTTGCAGAATAGAGTTATAAAATCCATTTTAATGATGATTGAACTTTGGATTTCTTGAGCATATGTAATACGATACCAAGATGGAGTTATAATAACCTATGCCCTCTACCTAAAACTGGTGTGGCAACAATGATGACAAATTGTAGGTGGAGCAAATTCGTGTGAAGCCTGATTTTGGCTTTAAATTTTGCCCCCCTTTCTCCCCTAATGAATGGAGGTTCTTATAGTGTTTGGCCTTTAAACATGAAAAAATGTAAATAACATATTCAGTCAGTCAGCACTGAACCAAATGTCCCTTTCTCCAACATCTTCCTCCCATATGTATTTATTACGTAAGACGTTTAGCTTTGGTTCTAGAACTAACATCTATAGTCTTGATTTGCTGTCTAACCGTTTCCATTGCTTGATGATGTCTAGGAAGCTTGGAACAAATTCAATTCAGAAGAGCGGTAGCAGAGTCGTAGTAATGTAGCCAATTGCATATTTACAGTTTTCTGTCCTTTATGTAAATTTATACTAGTAGCTAGTAAATATATCATCATTTCTGTTGATAATTGTAGTAAACCCTATAGTTTCTGCATGTAATTTATGATGGAATACATAGGTAGCAGAAAGTTAATGAATGAAGTTTTTGTATAATGCAATCAAATATTTAAAATGCTATTTTCTATTTATTATTTTACATAAAAGTTCTGTTCAGTTTGAATTTCACAAAACTATCAAATATGAGTGAGGCCCCTGAATGTAGAATTGGACATTCCTTATCTTACAGTCCTGATTTTCTCCAGACAGCAAAACTGCTAATTAATTATTCGTATTAGCATAAGTTTTGGTTCTTGCATTAAGACTATAGGATTCCATTTTATTTCCAGCCATTGAATTTATTTTGCCGTGTCTGCATAATAACATGTTCTTAAGCCCCATGTATTAGACGAATAGCGTCATTCTTTGCGTCGGAGACACCACACACTCTACATAAGCCAGACCCCCAGATTTATCCCTTAGCAGAGTAGGGATAGGGGATCAATCCCTTCTTCTGGCAGTCAATGGCTCCCACGTACGTGTCTTCAAAGCTCTACAAAAATCCTGGCTCCATTAATTTCTTCGACGAGAAGGATATTATTTTCTAGTTTTCATCAAAGCCCTCAAATCTGAAACACACACAGTTAATCAATCCTTTTGTTAAGTCAATAAACTTATTACATATATATATATATATATATATATGTATATGATGATTAGCATTAACAAATAGTACTGAATTCAAGAAGTCCTAATGATCAAGTGACCATCATATATATTGTAAGGGATAATCTTATATGGTGATAGATGTGGGGTTTGAATTCTACTTTCATGTTTTTTTAAAAAAAAACAAGTAGTACTGAGTTCCAACGCAGAAGCCTACTCGGTTGGGATGTATTCTGGGTATTTCTTTCGAAGCATTTCTGCAAGATCTAAAATGATTGCATCATGGAAAGAGCAAATATATCTCCCTCTGCTCTGCAGTTCTCATACAGGAGTGCATTATAGAGATCGTCTTGATGTACATATTGACATTGCTTTAGGATTGCGTAATGACCTTCATTTCCCGCAAGCACAAGATTTCCTTTTTTTTTTTTGGTGAAAAGGAGAAAGATGAAATGTTTTTAGTCATGATGATTAATTAGAGAGAAAGCAATCAGATTAACTTTTTAACTTTCTTTATTGTACCAGTGATTAAGGAAAGAGCAGTAATGAGGTTTGGTGGCATGGACGGCATGATGAAAGGTCCGACAACTAGTGTTGGGATTACACCGATAAAATCAATTCCGTTCTCTTTAGGTGCTTCCCATGCTGGCAAAATTTTCGGTTGAAAATACATCTAAAATGTATAATTAATCATCTGTTAGCATAAGATGTAAAATCTAGATGCAATTACATTATGAACTTCAAGTCTTGTTAGGTTAACAACATGCTTTATGTGAAAATTGAATATATGAATTTTAACATAAGAATTATGTTTAACATAAAATTAATTGATAATAAATTGAGTAGTTTTCTATTTTACAAAATATAGTGCCATTATTTCTGAATATGAAGATGTAATTAGTAGATTCTAACTCATGCTATACATAGATATTGCTATTGTGCTAACCCATCCAGTCATCTTGTCTCTAATAAAATCCACATTACTCCAGCAGGTTTCGTAATATTCATGACGCCGGTGTTCTTGCATGACAACAGCTCCGGCAGATGACACGAAGACCAACCTACGAACAGTTTTTGCCTTGGAACATGACCTTACGATGTCCACAGCACCATCTACGGTCGGCTTAATTACTTCATTCTGCAAAACCAAACAGTTACGAACCCTTGATCATGAGTTAAAATATAATTAATGTTGTTATTAATTATTGGCTGATCAGATTATATATACCTAAGGATCCTGAGATGCAAAGTCCATGGGAGTAGCGACATGGAAGACACCAGAACAACCTCGGATGGCCTCGTCGAAGCTGCCTTGAACCCTGAGCTCTGCCTTCCACAAGGACAATTTTGTATCAACCTTTGGCAGCTCCACCTAACGCCTCACCTTGCTTTCATTTGCTGCACTAATACCAAATTAATTAGCATATATATTATACATACATGTTATGATCATGAGATGCATATATATATGTATGCACCGGGGTCACGGACAGTTGCTCGTACGATGTAGCCCTTCTGGAGAAGTTTCATTACAAGCCAAGAGCCGATTAAACCAGAAGCTCCTGTAACACATACTATCTCTGCTTTGCCTTCCATTATTACGTGCTCAAGCTTAGCTTCCCATGAGAATTGGCTTAGTGAAGCTGTCATATTTATAGAGGACAGGAATCTTTTTTTTTTATTTTAATTTTTGTTTTTCTTCTGAGATGGAAGACTTCTTCTCTCTCTGTTTTTTATTTTATTTTATTTTTTTTTAATTTATTGAGCGTGAAAAAAAAGACTAAGTTGAGGTTTGAACTCTCAATCCAACACTAGTATGTACGGGAGGGAAGTGGATTTCGCTATCTGCGATACCATATGCCCAGGTTAGATTGAATTAATGTAAAAGCTTAATTGATGTTTAATGGGTTATATAATAAAATAAAATTATTTTTAAAAAAATTTTACTCATCAATTATAGAATTTAAAATTAAGACTTCTAATACGAAAATTTTAGTTTTCAGCCACATGTTCCCTAAAGAGCATCTATTGATATTTGGTAATATAAATAGATTGACTCCGGAAAATATAAGGATGAGAGAAAATATGAAGGGAAAAAAAAAATGAACACTGTCTCTAAAATGAAACAATTTCAGAACTTACTCAAGTTCATTTCACTTCATGTGTGGCAGTTCATTTCCGAATTCCATTAA